GCCCTGAGGCGGAGCAGGCGCCGGCGGAGGCGCCCGGCGGCCCCCGGCTGCCCCAGGGTGCTGAGGTCAAGCACGGCGCGGAGCACGAGCTGTGAGTGGCGGGTCCAGAGCGCCGCGAGGCCGGCGGCGGCCCAGGGCTGGCACAGCACCAGGTCCACCTTGTGCCAGCCCTTGGCCCGCAGGAGGCTGCCCAGCAGCTCCAGCAGCGACTCGGGCGAGCTCTGCCGCTCCATGCACAGGTGGAAGGGGCTCTGCTGGCAGACACTGTGCTCAGACCCACTGGCCCCGGAGCGGCCAGCGGCTCCCGGCGGATGCAGGGGGCTGGAGGGGAGGGACCCGGGGAGCAAAGAGCACTCGGGCTGCCTTTGGTGCTGCTCTGGGGCCCCCGACCAGCGGTAACTGCCCGCCAAGCTGCTGGGCATCCCTCCCTCCTTTCATGCACATGGGCATGTAAACATGCGCTCCCGGACCCGCTGCTCGGCCTTGGCTCCGCACAGCGGGAGCTCTCCAAGGACACGGTGCCACTCGCGGGCATCAGTCAGAGCCGGTGGGAGGGTGGCACAAGCGGCAAGCTGGGCTCTGTCCCCATGTCCCCAGGGAGCAGCTTGGGGACAGGCTGCTGCCCACTCCCTGCAAGGGGAAGGAGTCACCTGCCCAGGAACAAGGAGCAATGGGAAGGGACTGAGGACTGCAGGTGGTGGCACCTGCTGAAGTGCCACTGGAGCTATTGGCCTCTGTGCAGGACATTCCTGGCCCCAGCACTGGGAAGTGGGGCCAGGGAACCCTGGGGCAGGGACCGTTGGGGCTCTGGGGTGGCCCTAGGGACTCCAGGCTGGGACACATCCCCAGAGCCCTTCTGGGGTGTGAATTGGGAGCATGGGACACAGGGCAGCTGCAGGAGCCAACTGAGCCACCTTGGCCCAGGAGCTGGAACGGGGCTGGGCTGGGGATGGGGTAGAGCAAGGATAGGGCTAGGATGGGAGCTGGGAAGGACCTGAAAAGCAAGCAGGGATGGGGCTGGCATGGGAGGCAGGATGGAACCAGTGAGGGGGTGGGATGGAAGCCAAGGAGGGAACTGGACTGGGAGTTGGGATAGAGCCAGGATAGGAGCTGCAATGGGGCTGGAACGGGAGCTGGGATGGAGCCAGGGCAGGGCTAGGATGGAGGCAGGACGGGAGCTGGGACGGTGAGGGCTGAAGCTGGGGTGAGACCCAGCACGGGGCTGGGATATGAGTGCAAATGGAGCCAGGAGGGGAGCAGCGAAGGAGCCGGGACAGAGCCAGGACCGTCCAGGGACGGAGCCAGGGGCCAGGGATGGAGCGGCCGCGGCTCCCCGGCGCTGCCCTTACCTGGGGGCGGAAGGGCAGGGGCCGGTCGGCGTCCAGGACGCTGAGGAAGGGGAGCTGCAGCGCGGCGGCGAGGAAGTCGAGCTGCAGCAGCTCGCGGCGGGAGCGCGGCACGGCCAGCACGGCGGCCACGCCGCGCGCCACGAGCGCCGCGCAGAGCCAGC